ATTTTTAGGGTTATTCTGAGGATTGAATGACTCAACCTATGCTTAAACAAGCCCCTCACACAGACTAAGCAATATGTAAGTGCTGACTATTTGAATCCTTAAACCAGGCGTCCTCAAACTACAGCCCGCGGGCCACATGCAGGCGCCTAGCACATTTATCCAGCCCTCCAGGTGTTTTTGCCATCACTGCCTGTCCTGATTAGCAGCTGACATCCAGGGCCCACAGTGAGCACTCTCCAACAGTCTGAGGGACAGTGAACTGACCTCCTGTTTAAAAAGTATGAGGACCCCTGCTACTCTGAATGGAGTGGGGTGACTCATGCTTATGTTAGGTAGATAATGAGGGATTCCGGGTTTCCTAGGGATAAAAAGTGGGTGTCTTGCTTTGTTGCAATTGTCCCACCTGGGAAGGTCACCTGGGGACCCTCATCTTGGTCACACCCCACCTTAATCCCTTCCCAAGCAACTGCCATACCTGGGCGTAGCAGTGGTTGGGGGGATACCCTGTGAATCTGCCAATCAGCTGCAAAAGAATGCAGAGAACTCTAGCCCACGGGCCATACAGCATTAGGTATAATACAGTCCAAAGAGTGACCTAGAACCCACGTGAAGTAAGACTTAAGTCATGCAAGCCCAACTGTGCAAAGTGGTTTCCAGAGGGAGGTCCCATTCCAGGCAGTATAGAACAAGATGCATAAATAGGCCTTTTCTTTTTTTGCCCTTCTTTTGCTCTCCCTTTGCTGTCACAATGGGTCCAGTCATCATCTGTGGCATATGTATCACACTCTATAAACCCATATCTTGCTCTATAATCCTATCTTTCTCTCCTCAATAAACCTCATTTTCCTGCTTGTCTTACTTTGGTGCATGTGATCATTCTTCAGCCATGAGCGCCCTAAGTACTGACATTTCAGGCTGAAACCTGACACTTATAATCCCAGCTACTTGGAAGGCTGAGTTGAGAGGATCCCTTGAGCCTAAGAGGTTATAGTGAGCTATGATCATACCTCTGCACTCCAGCCTGGAGGAAAAAAAAATACCCTGGAAAAGGAGCCAATATCATTCAATGGAGAAAAGACAGTTTTCAACAAGTTGTGCTAGAAAAACTGGATAACCACATGCCAGAGAATGAACTGGACCCTACCTCACACCATATAACAAAATTAACTTTAAAAAGATCAAACACCTAAACTTAAGAGCTAAAATTATAAAACTCTTTTAGATGGAAACACAGAAGGAAATCTTCATTGGATCTCACAATTTCTTCAATATGATAACAAATGCACAGGCAAAAGAATACATAGTCTTCATCAAAATTAAAAAATAGTGCGTCAAAGAACACCATCAAGAAAGTGAAAACGTAACTCACATAGTGGGAAAAAATTTGCAAATTATATATGTTAATGAATTAACATATCCAAAATACATAAAGAACTCTGACAACTCGACAACACAGAAATCAATCACCTAATTCAAAAATGGACAAAGGGCTTAAATTGACATTTCTCCAAAGAAAACACACAAATGACCAATAAGTACATGAAAACAGGCTCAACAACCTTAGAGAAATGCAAATCAAAAACATGATGAAATAGTTAATAGCTATTCAGATGGCTATTACCAAAAAAAATGGAAGATAGGTGTTGACTAGGATGTGGAGAAAGTAGAACTATCCTACATTTCTGGTGGGGATGTAAAATGGTTCAGCCACCATGAAAAACACTTTGCCAGTTCCTCAAATAAACATACAATTACCACACAATTCAGCATTTCCACTCCTAGGTATAGACCCAAAAGAATTAAAAGCAGAAACTCAGAAAGAGATCCCTGTAGCTAAGGGCATACACAACCTGAGTGCTCATTCACACATGAATAAACAAAATATGGTATATACACACAAAGAAATATTTTACATAGCCATAAAGTGGAATGAAATGTTGATACATGCTATAATAAGGATGAACCTTGAAAACATTAAGCTAAATGAAATAAGTCAAAAACAGAAGTACAAATATTGTTATTATTTCACTTGTATGAGGTGCCTTAAATCGGCAAATTCATAGAGACACAAAGTAGAATAGTGGTTACCCAGGAGGTAAGTGGGAAGGGGCAAGTTACTGTTTAACGCCGCAGTCCCCAACCCCTGGTCCAAGGACCAGTACCAGTCTGTGGCCTGTTAGGAACCAGGCTGCACAAGTGGTCCCAGAGCAAGAGAAGCTTCAGCTGTATATACAACCTCTCCCCATCACTCGCATCACCTCCTGAGCTTTGCCACCTGTACAATCAGAGGCAGCATTAGATTCTGCATTATGGTGAGTTGTATAATTATTTCATTATATATTACAATGTAATAATAGAAATAAAGTACACAATAAATGTAATGTGTTTGAATCATCCTAAACCATCTCTTCTCCCCCAATCCGTGGAAAAATTTTTTTCCATGCCACCGGTCCCTGGTTCCAAAAAGGTTGGGGACCACTGGTTTAATGGGTACAGAGTTTTGGTCCTCTGGAAAAGTGGGAATAGGGAGATAATGTATAATGATGCAGAGTTTCTGTCTGAGATGATGAAAAAGTTCTAGGAAATAGTGGTGATGGTAGCACAACATAATGAATGTACAGTCATCTTCTGGTATCTGAGGACTGGTTCCAAGGCTTCCAGTGCTACCAAAATCTGGGTATGCCCAAAACGGCATAGTATTTGTATTTAGCCTACTTTAAATACTCTCTAGAACACTTATAATAACTAATACAATGTAAATGCTATGTAAATAGTTGTTGTATTGTTTAGGTAATAACTACAAGATGCTATGTAAATAGCTGTTATATTGTACTGTTTAGGAAATATAGCGAATAAAGACAACGAAAAAAGTTTTTTTTCCCCCAAACATTTTTGACCCACAGTCAATTGAATCCATAGGCACAGAACTGAGGGATGCAGAGAGCTGACTATACTAAATACTAACAATTTGTATACCTAAAAATGGTTAGAATGGTCAATGTTATGTTACATATATTTTTCTGGAGAGGCACTAAAGATTCTTAAAAAGAATAACAATCTATTTTTTAAAGCAATACATATTGCTTTAGCAAAATTAATTTAGACTGAGGGTACATAAGGTATAGAGGTTGAAAATAAGAAATAAGGCTTCAAACAGGGTTGGAAAAGTAGTAAAATAGGTGCTGGAGAAAACTATGCCCTCAGCCTAAAATGGGACAGCATCAACCCTGATCTAAGAGGTTTCCTACAGGATTTTACTTCATATAGTTGTTTGACTGTCTAATACTGACCCCCCCCCATGTATGGAAATCTGGGGTCTTGTTGACAATGCATTTAGATGGGAACCCATTAATGGCCAACATGTTCAAGAAACTTTAAAGGCAAATACAATCTGACCAGATTTATAAATGTAACCTAAATATGCTTTTGAATTTGTAAGTTCTTGAAATTCAAACGTTAACTTTCCCTCAGTTTTTACAAAAATATAATTTTCATTCCGTTAGAGTATCGTTTTAAATATAAATAACACAGTTCTTTATCAGTCAATGTTCGTGGTTATACCTTAAATGACACCACATTAATAATGGAAAAGAGTTTCTTTGGTAGCAAAGTTTCCCCACTTTTCTCACTTCAATCAAGAAATTATTAATCACCTATCATCTCTTCTTCTGCTATGGTAAGGGGGGATATATCATAACAATATAATCATCTATCCTCTTCAATTTAATAAATGTGAAAGTTCACATATAAGATCAGTACACTAGCCCACCCTATTAAATCCAATATACTGTCCCTTTTGAATTCTGTGTAAGAGAAACTAGGTCCAAAAATAGTCCTAATTTGTTCTCACCTGTCTGCACCCCCCAATCTCCTAATATTATCCAATCCTAATGCCACCATTTACATACTCAAAATTTACTGCATAGTGCTAGGATTTACATTTTTTGCTCTGAGATTCAAAATACTGCCTTATGTTTATATAGTTACTTAGACATGAAGCACATTACATAAACAGTCATACCAGTTGGTATAAATGTAAAAATAGCGCCAGGTGGTCATGGTCAATCAGGTGGAGACCTCTAATCCTTCTAACCAGGTACCTACATACACAAGGGGAGATCTGTAAAAACACACTCGCTGAAATTTTGGTTTTCAATGCCGAGTTCCAACATGTCACTCTCACACAGGAACATTACAAGCCCACAGCTCTGCGACCTATACATTTTGTTAGTTTGTTGTACCAAACACAGTTAACATCTTTCAAGATCCCTGTCCTCTTAAATCACCAAATGAAAAACGGAGTCTGGTCAAACTCAGACGTCTACCTGTCCACTTGTAATATGTTGTATACGTACTGTGATTTGTGTGATAAGATGCAATAGCATACCATAGGAAAGCCTAAAGTATAAAACTGCTGACCAAAGGAGGAACATATAGGTTAAGAAAATTAAAAAGCATCCTGACCTAACTTAATTCAAAATGCATTCGCAGAAATTTAGGACTCAGCATTACGCAGGTAAGTTGGACAGCCCCACCTGAATCATCTAAAAGCTTTACAAAGATTCATGTGGCGAAGAGAATCAAACGGTTCCGTAAATTAAGCTTTCAGAGACCCTAAGATGCAAATGACAGCTGGATCCCAGAAAGAAGGGGTCAGGAGGAAACAGAGAAGGCTCTGGGAGACACCCACAGACTGGAAGGAATAGGGGCAGACCACCCCTAAGAGCAGAGTTTGTCCGAGGACTCAAGAAGGGCAGATGGGGATCTCCTAAACTGGGGAAGGTAGCCGGTCAGGCCTCCGTGCCCGCGTGGGAAACCCCATGTACATAAACGGGGGCTCACGACCGAGAGCTGAGGCCTAATTCTGGCAGCGGCCTGGGAGTTCGGCCGGCGCTGGACACTCTAGAGCAGGAGAAAGCAAGGGAACCTGGACCGGGAAAGAGTGAAAGGAAAGCACGGAAAGATAGACCGGGGCCGCCGGGGCTCGGGCCTGGCCTCACCCTCTCATGGTGAACTTGACCACGGCGAGTCTGGAGCCCGCGCCGCTGAGCTCTGGCTGGAAATCCGGGTCGCTCCCGACCGGCTTCACTCCCACCATCCTCACAGAGAGCCGGGTTGGGCAGCTGCGACGCCACTGACTTCGAAATTGAAGGCGAAGACGACCCGAGAGAGGAAGGAGAGACGCTCAGGAAGGCTAAGGCCTGGACAGAGGAGGTGGCGACAGCGGCGTCTTCTAACCGGGACTCTCAGTGCCGAGTCACGCCAGGGAGCGGAGCAGCCGAGGAGGCGGGGACGGGCGGGGGGAAGGGTAGAGGCGAGGAAAAGGAAGCCGAGCAGGACCCAGCAGCCACCGCGCGGCAGGGCCGCCGGCGCTTGCGCGCCTTGACGTCATTTCCGCGCCGTCCGTTTCGGCTCCCATCGCCCAATCCTAAAACGCGAAGCGTAGCGCCACCCTCGACTGAGTCTCCTCGTGGTACAGTGAGCGGCGCAGGCATCTATGTGTAGCGCTCACAAGCGCAGGCGCAGACTGTGACTCAAACGTTCATGTATTCGTCCGCGTTTGATAGACCGCCCTCCGCTCCACCCCCCCACCCCCCCACCCCCGCTTTTACCGAGATTTCTGGGATAGGACAGCGAAAGGGCCTCCTTTTTCTCCGGGGTTCCTGGTTGCTACCTAAATAAAGTCAGAAGGTCCCTTCGGGAAGTTCTTTGAGGATGGTCTTGTCCTGAATTATGAGCGGATCACTGCGCACAAGTTAAATAGACTTTAGGAACGTTTATTTGCAGATCTCATTACATTTCCCTGTGCAGTCGTTCAGAAAGTATTGTGTACTTGTCTTTAGGTATTGCCCAAAAAGATAAAGGCATCATCCCTAATTTAGGAAGTTCACAGTCTAGTGACAGACGCACACAACAGTTACAGTAACAAAGAAGTTTGAATAGGAAGCAGTGGAGACAAATGAGATGGGAGAGTGGAGCCAGGTAAACTTGCTGGGAATGTGAGCCCTGAGTTCAACCTTGAAAGGGAAGAAGGGGTTAATAATAGATGGTGAGAAATAACAGTGATATTCCAAGCAAAGATGTTAGCAGGTTCAAATGCATGAGTTGAGAGGGCAGATAATAAGAATAGATAATATTTAACACATTATGTACCAAGCAAGATACAAGCTCTCTTTACATACCAACGCATTTACTTCTCACAATAACGCTCTGAAGTAGGTTCTGTTATTATTCCAAGTCAAAGCAGGCTTTTAAAATATCAGGCTAGTTTACAAATTATTTGGACTTAGCTGGGGAGATGAAATTTGAGAGTACGGCAGAGGTCAGATCATGACCTAGCTAAGGCATTTTGATTCTATCATGAAGGCAATGGAAAAATCACGGCAAGGCAATTCTGTGATTATAAGTGGTCTTTATTAAAAGCTCTAAGGTAGCAATGAGGAGGAGCCTACGGTGGTACTCCAGGAACTAAGTAGGAGAGCAGCTGCAGCGGAAGTGAAGGGGAAGGAATATGTCTGAGAAACAATTAGAAGATTAAAACCACTAAGCTATCTGGTTTAGTGACCAATTGGACCAATTTAGTGAGATGACAGAGGAAGGAGGTCTAGGATAACTCAAATTTCAATCGTAGCTTTTTTTAATGAGTTAAGATGCCTGTAGGACGGACATCCAGGTGAGGTGTACAGTAGAAAGTGGGAAGGATGGGTCTGGAACTAAAGAAAAAGGAGTAGAATAAAGTTAGAGATTTGGAAGTCCTCAGATTGGATGATAGTTGAAGCCCAAGAAGTGTGAAAAGAGAAGGCTAAAGATGCTGCAGAAACAAAATAATTATTCTTAAGTGTACCCAGCCAGATGAGAGGCACAGTAATTATATTTCTTTCTCATGTAGGATCAGCACAGTGTAATGGCTTTCATAGACAATAAAAATTCCCATAATAAATCTTTGCTACTTATAATTTATGGCAGTAACCTCTCTGAACTTCAGCTTCCTTGTCTGTGAAAATTGGATTAATAATACCTGCTTTTTAGGATTATGAGGGTTAAAGGTTATAGTGGATAATGTACATAAAGAGCCAAAACAGAAGGTATTCAATGAAAGATGTTTATAAACAATGATGTATTACTTAGCTAGGGCTGCTGTAACAGCAGAATACCACACACTGGGTGGCTTAAACAGCAAAAGTTTATTTCTCACAGTTCCAGAGATTGGAAGTCCAAAATCAAGGTGCTGGCAGGTTGGTTTGTCCTAAGGCCCCTCTCCTGGACTTTTAAATGGAGGCTTCCTCACTGTGTCTTCACACGGCCTTTTCTGTGTGCACACACATATGTACACACACATACACAAAGTACTGGTGTCTTCCTCTTCTTATAAGGACTCCAGAGACTATCTTCTCTTGTCTCTTTAGGCCTGAGAGTAGAAATAACTCCTGGCTGTTGGTGGCATGAGGGTATTGAGAAACTCTGGCCTGGCCACCTAGTCTAATTATGCTAGTGCAAACCTGGCCAGACAAGAGAATCCTGACATGGGCACTTCACATATATAGCAGCGACATGGGCTGCTAGAATCCCAAGGCACGTACTCATAGGAAGCAGAGTTACTTGGGAGCCATAATTCCTACGTGGACTTCCATGCTTGTAGCATGAACAACTACCTCCAGCCACCTAGCATTAACCTAACTGGTAAGCCCAGATACTATCAACTAATTAGCAACATCCAGAGACTTCACTTTCCTAATACCAATAGAACTCTTTTGGTTTGAAAAACACTACCATTTTTCTCCTACTCTACCCTCACCACACAGAGCATAGTTGTGTGGTGTATCTAGTTCCCACCTCTATAGTAAACCTTTTCCACTCACTACTCAATCCTTGATGTATTTGTCTTTATTTTCTCTTTAACATCACCATCACTTTTTGATTCTCCTAAACTTTATCCACAGATTTATTAATATTCCCCTTACTAAATTATCCTCAATTGCCCACTTTGAATGTGCTTTTTCCTTTGTGACTGTCCCTGATATAAAAATTTGAAAAATGTTTCAACACCTGGGAAATTGGAGGCTGGAATATTAACTAGCAAGCTATAGATAAATACATGAGAGTTGCCAGCATAGAAGTCATAGTTGATACCACTAAAATAGGTGAGTTCATCAGGAAATATACATAAAAGCAAAGAGTTTCAACAGAAATTTAAAGACAACCACAAATAGAGAGTAAAATGAGAAAAGTTGGGCAAGAAGCAGAGAGGCAGGAGGAAAATCACAAAAGTCAAGGGTCAAAGACCAAATGGTTGAAGACTGAGAAATGCTTTGGAATGTAAGAAAAGAGTCACTGGTTATTACTCAAACAGCCACTACCATTCAATGAAATAAGACTGAAATCAGCTCACTGATAACCACACCATTTTGCTCCTTAGAAGACTGATGTTAGGTTAAACTTCTTCCATTTTGGGAAATCTCTTTCTTCTCCATCAGCTTTTAGGATCTTTATCACTGGTATTTTGAAATTTCATAATGCCGTGTCTAAGGAATGGCTCTCTTGTGATCTATTCTGCCAGGGGTTCAGTGGACACTCTCATGTGGTGGCTTTTGATTTTAGTTTTGGGACATTTTCTTGTTTTTGTTTCTTTAATGATTTTCTTCCCTAATATGGGACCTCCTGGGTTTGTTGGTCTACTATGTCTCATACTTTCACTCATATTTTCCTTTTCTCCCTCATTCCCTCTCTCTATTTTTCTCCTGTTTTCTGGTAGATTTCTTCAACTTTGTTTTATAACCTTATTTTTAATTTCAAAAGGCCCTATTTTTTCTAACTATTATTCTTTCATAGTATCTCATTATTGTTTTATGTATGCAGTGACTTCTCAAATTGCCAGTATTAAGTAAGGGTTTGTGTTTTTCATTTTTTTGCTTTTTAGTTTTGTATCCAGAATTATTCCTCTCTTAGCTAAGGTCATTCATCTTGTACACATTGCAGGCTTTCCTAATGTGTCTGGTGGCATATGTTGCTCAGTAACTATGCCTATTCTTCCTTTTAACCCTTGTATTTAAGGTTTTATTTCAGTGATCATATTTTTAATTTTCAGGATATATAACTACTTCTCTTTTATACACCTCATTTTCATTTCACACTTTCGATTTTCTTACCTGATTGGTGATTGTTGGTAGCAGTTTTATCTTTTAGAAGTCCCTTTTTGGCCAGGTGCGGTGGCTCACTCTTGTAATCCTAGCACTCTGGGAGGACAAGGCAGGCGGATTGCTCAAGGTCCCAAGTTCAAAACCAGCCTGAGCAAAAGCGAGACCTTGTCTCTACTATAAATAGAAAGAAATTAATTGGCCGAATAACATATATATAGAAAAAATTAGCTGGGCATGGTGGCACATGCCTGTAGTTCCAGCTACTCACGAGGCTGAGGCAGGAAGATCGCTTGAGCCCAGGAGTTTGAGGTTGCTGTGAGCTAGGCTGATTCCATGGCACTATAACCGGGCAATAGAGTGAGACTCTGTCTCAAAAAAAAAAAAAAAAGTCCCTTTTTGCATCCCAGCGGATGTGTTTATGTTCAATGTGCTCTGCCCTACAGGATCTACTGCCAATGATCTGGGTAGAAGGGCTACATGTTGCTTCTGGGTATCATCCACCAGGGGTATTGTTCTATCTTCCATGTTCAAAAACTCTCCCTTATTATTCCACCCTGAAGGCAAATGCCTCAGCTGACTGTTGTTTGAAGAAGTGTTCCTTTGGGAGTTGGGTCGTGGTGGGGAGGAACTGGAATTGCTGCTCTAGTTGCATTTCTCAACTGCAGTCCTGACAGAGTCCTCCAGGGCTCCCCCAGACCCCTCCAGCAGAGCTGCTGCTTATTTCCCCCAGTTGGGCTTTCTTCAGACATTTCTGTTTGCAGCACATTCTGTAGAAACAGTCATCTTTCATAGCAGCATTTTCTTCTGAAGCTAAATATGTTTCTATCATTGTGATGTGAATTACTTTCGTTTACTCAAAGATGCTTTAATATTTCTGGTCTGTATGTAGCATCCTGTATCTGTCAGGGCTTCTGGTTGTAGTAATTCAATTTATTCAACCAATATTTATTGAATACAAATAACAGATTCCATTCTAGCTAATTTAACCAGAAAGGTGTTTATTATAGGATATTAGCTAGCTCGTAGGCTTTCCAGAAGGGATAGAGAACCAAATTTGTATACTTCACAGCCAGAAACAACATAGCCTTGGAGAAATGATCACACAAACTATTAGAATAGTTAGAATAGTTCCACACATCTTGGAACTATTTTAATAGAAATGAAAGGTCCACTGCCATTCCTAACCACTGTTTAGCCGCCATGACAGGGGTGTATCTCCTT